CTTTCTTTGCAGCGTTGATTTAAACTTCTCATAACCCTGCACAATTAGCATGCAGTCTTCCTCCGTGGAGATCGTGCCATGAGTCAAACGGTGACTTGCGCTACCGAACATGCTCCATTTATGTGAACGCGCACAAACTCCAATGCAGTTAACACCGATTTAACAAATCAACTTCTTAACTGGCGTTGTAGTACTGATTAGCACCGATTGAGACAACCCAATTTTGTCAACCCCGCGTTCGCAAATTAACTTTGGGTTAAATCTGATTTGGTTAAACCCCCTTCTTAGTACAGGCCACAGATGAATTGCAATTTATTGCAAAGTCCGTCTTTGCCATGAAAATGAACTTAATCCCAAAAAAAACATTTCTACTGCATTTCATGCATTCATGATGGACAAACAAAAACGCACAAATTCTGACAAACTCTAACCATTGATTATGCAAGAATGGGCTGCCATTAGTCAGGATTTGGCCCAGCAGTTGATTAACAGTAAGCCAGGATGAATTGCAGAGGACTTGAAAAAGAAGGGCCAACACTGCAAATATTGACTCTTTGCATAAACGTAATGTAACTGTCAATAAAACCCTTTGACACTTACAAAATGCTTGTAATTATACTTCAGTACATCATAGAAAGATCGGACAAAAAGATCTACAAACACTGAAGCAGCAAACGTTGTGAAAACCAATACTTGTGTTATTCTCAAAACTTTTGGCCATGACTGTCATCCAAAAGTATGACATTGGGAAAGGGACCAAACCCCATACTTCAAAAAAGTTTAGGGCTCATTTACCACCGCACTCGACATGCCTGTAAACTAAACCCACGGAATGACACACATAAACAAACTCACACATGCACAGACACACACTGACACTACAACTCCTCAATGCAATCATACCTCAATTGCTGCATCTCATAAGCTCTCACAACTTCACAGAAATTGTGGGGTTGGTTGAGTATTAAACAAAGAAATGGCTTCAGTATAATTAGTTTTATTTCTAGGGATAGATTGAAAGTTGTAGAGCTAATTTATTTGTCTTATCTTTAGAGAAACCAACATGAATACACATTAAGTACTGAAAATGAGCAAAAACTGTTCTTGATAAAGATTTACATGAAGAAGAAAAAATGAACACATCTTTAGCTAAACAGTATTATAAAACAATAACAGAAAGTATTTATTTGTTTTTATTTTATATGTTTATTTTAGTTTTGGAAGCAGCATTTATTTTTGTTTAGTTGTGTTTTTTTCATATCTTGTTTCATTTCTGTTTATGAAAATGTTTTCTTATACTTTTCATTTCAGTTTTCATTAATAATAACACCAGAAAACACCAAAAGTACAGTTCGTTGGTGGATTCTTTCTTTGACTGCCCCTTGAGATTTAAAGTGGAAACCCTAATTGCTGGAATATGTGGCTTATAAGCACTTTCATTCCATATGTTCTATGGAATGGAAATGCTTTAAATGGTGAACTAAGTTGTATTGCCAGTTTTAGTTGGCAGAAGTTTCCATCTGTTGCCAAAGTACTGCCCCACCACTCACGTCTTATGACACAGTAAAGTACTGTCACAACTTGTTTATCCACAATATCTCCTTTTTTAAGATATATTGTGGCTGCTGAGCTGTTGCTTTCTTCACCTACACTTGAAGCTCCCTCTGAGGGATCACTTGTCTCTTTCAAGATATTACCAGAACAGTAGCATGTGGGGTGCTCCGCTAACTCAATTAACCTTGTTGTGAATTTGTTGGGTTTAGGTTGTCCATTCTTAAAAGACTACCATATGATTGACTGGAATTGTTTCTTTGATGTGTGTTGATGTGTGCTATCAAACCATGTTCCTTACAGACAGTTTAGCAAAGTTTCTCATGTTCTTATCACTTAAATTTTGTACGACGATAAATGCAATCTGATATCGCCTAGTCCTACTCTCAGATCGAAGTTGATAGTGATATCATAACTATTAAAAGTGAACAATACATGAGGAAACCAGTTGCTACGTAAAATCAGACCAGTTCCTGGCAATTTTAATTTCAATACAATATATTTATTTAAACCCTTTATTAATTAGTTTTAGTCTACTACAGTTTCTAACTGTATCTCATGCTCTCCATTGGAGTCTCAAAGCAAATTGAATGCTCTCCCATAGTGTCATGTCCCAAAACCAGACCAAGCCCAGACCAGTGACCCTGCCCATGTCCTCATTTCTGAAACTGATTTCCAGTTTCATTATAATTTATAATTGATCCTTTATTGTCCCCATGGGAAAATTCTTTTTATGCCTCCCTCAACTTGCTCTTTGTAGAGCAAGCTGTCCACAAAGGGCAGCCACCTGTTGGGGCACCCAGGGAGCTGGGGGTTAATGGCCTTACTCAAGGACTCACAGACATGCTGAGGGTTTGAACCGGCAACCTTGTGATTACAGGCACACAGGCTTAGCCCACTGAGCCACACACTGCTAATTATTTTATTTGTACGATTCACACCCTGCAGCTTACCTTGAGGTATTGTGTTTTCTCCCTTGTGATTATATTTTTCCATGTTACTGTGTGTTCAACCCCTTCGTTGACTTCTTGACCCTGTGTTTTAATTAAAATTTGGGTTCTGTTCTGCCCTGGTTTATTCATCACCTGTACTTCCTGGTCAGTATATATACAAAGAATGGAAATCAACAACCTTACCTACCCACTGAAACCCACCCTCCACCAGCAGTAGAGAAATACACCCCTGTATTGGCTGGCTTTCCTATGCTTTAGTCCACATTTCCCCCACATATCTGCATTTAGCCTGGCTAGGCCACTTCTCTAGTTTTCATCCTGCGCTTTATGTCCTGGTCTCAGCTGAGCCCTATAGAGCTTTTCTGACACAGGCTTCCATTACCTGTGAGCCGTTGAACATCTGGGAAAGATTTGTTTACTAAAGCCAAACATGCTGCAAATACAATTTCAGATTTAAATTGAGAACAGAAGATGTTCTTCTTCTTTTCCTGTAATAAGTGAATATTATTGCCAGAGGATTTGTTTGCTTGTGTATATTTCAAATAAGCTGTTAATTACGCCATCTTCTTTAAACACATGCACATAAATAAATGAATGCATGTAAATATTGAACCAGACTTCCTCATGTTTGCACATTTCAGTTTTTCAGCATGCTGAAAATATTACATGCTGCCATTCAGCATTCATTGGATGGGCAGGATAAGATGGAGGACAGGAATCAAAATCAAGAATAGTGGGCACTAAGGTCTTCAGCTACAGGGTCCTTATATAATGGAATGATCTGCCAACTCATGGTCGGGATGCTGAATTGATCTGTCTTTAAATCTTGCCTGGAGACCAGTTACTTAAGTTTAGCTTACCCACTCCATAACACATAACACACTGTGACTGTAGCTGCTGGTGCTGCTGCACGTGCCATTTTGGTTTACTATGCTTGTCATTAAAGTGTCTGCATGTTCTGGCCGCCCATGCTCTCTGCCTTCCTTCCCACATGTCCGGATGGTGCCCGAGGTGGGTACCATCTGAGCAGGAGTCCTGGTTCAGTCCTATAGAAGCATGACATTGTTGATGCAGCTTACGAATGGTGACATCATGAGTGCAGCCTTCAATTTGCCAGCTTACACAGACCTGCTTAGAGAACTGACTCGCTGATGGACTCTGACTATGAACACAGTTTACACTTTGCTTTTATTAAAGCAGACTCATTTCACTGGTATTCCATAATGTGTTGGGCAGCCAGTTGTCCTTGGATCCACAGAGGTGTTTTTTTCCCCTTAGGAGTTTTTGGTTTCTCTCCTGTATTGTCTTCTGGCATTCTTACTTTCCCTTTTCCCTGTTTCAATCACCAGTTCGTATAAACGATGTAGTAATGGATTGCATTGGGGTGACTGTGTTGTGAAAGACACTATAGAAAAATAAGTTGAAAGTTGAAAATCATGTCTAAAGCATTCTTGCAGACTGTAATAATGTAAATGGATGGTCACTAATGATGGATGAAGCATTTGGGTGTCTTCAGTGCAAAAGTGGACAGGATAATGTATTGGTGGTCAGAGAGCAAAGCCTTTCCTCTGCGTCCAGTCAGCAATCAGATGAGAGTTCGACATGGCCAAAAATACTCTTGTTGAGGCCTGGCAGCAATTTATGGTTACCTTGATGTGCTTGAACCTTCCTACAACAGGGAAAGCTGAGATTCTTTCCTGTATTTAGCTCAATGGAGAAAGCCACAATTTAAGGGAGCACTCCATGAGCTGAACCAGATCCTCTCATTTGAGTCTGCTTCAGACAAGGAGACATAGGAAAGCCGTCTGTACTTAGGAGATTTCAGCTGTGCTTGTAGTTTCCTTAATGGCTTCCATCCAAAGCAAAGTAAACCGCCCATAAGATTTTTCCACCCTGTTTTGAGTTTCCATTATGTTCCTTTGCATTGGCTGGGAGCTGGAAGCACTATACTTGCATAACTTGCCAGGTTTCAATTCCAATTCAATGGTCAAAGAAGAGCCAATCAGAGCAATGGAATTCATTTAGGGCAGCCCCTCCTGCCAGACTTTGTAATAAAAGGGTGAGGCTAGCATATAGCATTTCTTTGCATTCTATGAATACTATGCACGAGTGGATGGGCCTGATTTTGGTTCACTGAGTATCTTACATGTCTTCTGTCTGGTTTATCACCAAACCACTTGTAGGAGATTCCACACTTCATTCAGCTTATCTCTGAACTTCTTCTCACTAGAAATCCTGAATTCACAGAAATCACCACACACTTATCGTTTTTATAACAGCTAACTGTTTAACTGCCCCCTCCCAGCACACCCTATCCCGGTCCCTTCTCCCAGCACAACCTATACGTGCCCTCCTCCCTCCCAGCACACACTATCCCTGCCCCCCTCCAAGCACACCCTGTCCCTCATCCCAGCACATCCTATACCTGCCCCTGTCCAAGCACACCCAATCCCTGTCCCTCCTCCCAGCATACCCCATCCCTGTCCCCGCACTCACAGCTCTGCCGTGCCTTGGCTCTGCTTGAGGTCTTACTCGACTCGCACCACACTGTCAGCCCATCGTCCAGCAGGCGTAAGTGCCGGCTCTTCTGCCAGCGTGTCGATCGCACCTTAACCATTCTGGAGCCTTGTGTCATCAGCCAAATATCCTCATCATCCTGAAGCCCTAGGAGGGAGAGAATAGCGCTATAAGCCTCACATGAAACTCCAAAACCATAAGATTATTCTGCAGAATCACTTGGAACATGGAAATCAATAGGGGTGTAATGATACAACTATACAATATCATGAGACATGATACTGACTTCACAAGAACAAGATGAGAGATATTTAACAATATTTTAAGGAAAACTTCAAAGAGGAAATATATTCCTGGAAAGCAGCCTTTTATTTGATTAATTTGAAAGACAAAAAATGCTAAATAATGGAGATGTATGGTGAAATGTGTTAAATAATCATCATATGCAGTAAAGAACAGAACAAATATCTAGCACCATAAAATATTTCACCACAAACTCAAATGACAGACTTCTCTCCTATTTGACTTCTCAATTGAGCATAAAATAGAATTTAAATAAAACGATATAAATAATAAACATAAAACTTTTTTTTAATGTTTTATTCACCGGTGCAATGGATTTAAGTAAAGAGCTATGATGGTGCTGCAAATGGCTTTGCATAGTAGTAGCATTAGTCGCTGTGTACGGCATTATTTTCCTACAATGCTTACCGATGGTTCGTGTTTTGTCTGTCACCCTTTCGCTGTTTATATTTTCCACTGGGCACCCAAAATGTTGCCACACAAGAGATTTAAAAGTGTCTGGGGCATCTACTATGGTAATTTCATCAGACTCCGACATACTTACTGCAGCTGGTTTGCAGCGCCTTCACGAGACTGCTTTTCACTCCGACGAGAAATCTCATGTTATATGTTATCATCTCGTGACATGAGATCTCATTACACCCCTAGAAATCGGTGCTGTCTAATGGAGACACATTAATCCCCTTTTTGAGGAGGAAAGGGAGAGTAACATGTCTAGTTGTGAAGAACCTAGAGAATCTCACTGCTATGAATTGTGTCATTTTACTTTCCTGGAAAAACCACAATCCTGATATTGGGGTAAACCTACTGCTCTCTCTGCAGCTGAGAGCATATTAATAATTTTATATTTATATTACATTGTGGGTGTGTTTAAAATTTTGAGTCAAAATTCCCTATGGAGTGTGTGTGTGTGTGTGTGTGTGTGTGTGTGTGTGCAAGTTTTCCCTTTTGGGTCCAAGTAAGTGGCATCCTACTATCTGAAAATAATAATCCCAAATATAAAAACAATACAGTCACTTTTACTCCATCAATGTGCTATACTGTAGATCCCTGGATACAACAAAGGCTATATATGATTGCTTACTACTGCTCTGTGCATGGGCCAGTTTTCATTGGCTTTCACATCAACATACGTGAAAAAAACACTTTATAAAGCTACATAAAGTATTTCACATACTTATATGCTACATACTTTATTATATTTGTCCTCAAGTCAGTTGCTCTATTGCTGGGGATGCAAATCCTGCCTCCGCATTGTCAATGTGTGCAGTTTGCATGTTCCCCTTATGTTGAGAAAGCAGACATCAAAAGGACCACTCCAAGAAAAAATGTGGCCAGAAAGGAAATGTTTGCTTGAGTCCCACTAAGGAAACCAAGCACATTTGTACTAGACTTAAGTTCACCGCACCTCTCTAACTGAAACCTTATCAACTGAAACTTAGGAAAAGCAACAGTCAATGTATGTGAGTTAAAAAGAAACTGAGAAGAAGGAGCTTAAATATGGAACTGTTATACCACCAAATATTTCACATTAATCTTTGTGTTAACCAAGAAATATCCATGGCATCAACACCAGTGCTCGATGGGAAATGACTATAACTAAAAACCAATTATCCCTGACTGACTTGTGATCAACCAGAAAAAATGGAGACTAGCTTTTTGAAATACTTTCAGCTGTAGGATAGATAAGACAAGGAAGGTGTGATGTTGTTTCTCCAACCATCTTCATACTAGATATTGCAGCGTAGGTACTATGCAATCCATTTACAGTTCTTGGTACCCACTTAATTGCTGTTTAAATAATTAAGTAAAACTCTCACCTTCAAGTAACATAGAAGTATAAATCATTTCTAAATATAGCATTCAAAATATTCATGACATAGTGCTGAGTTCAGAAATGAGGATTATGCACCCAGCACATTAGCTGATTAAGTGATCAAAGCAGCTGTGTGAGTTGTTGGTCGAATAAATCAGGCTGTATTAAAATGGCCATAAAATTTACTGCATGTCTTCATGTCTGAATCACTCTGTGTGATACAGCCCTATGTCTCTGACATGGTGGCACTCACATTTAAGCCAACATCCCACCCTTTATGCAACCATAACTTCTTGAAAATCCACCCAGTACAAGCAGTACTACAACAATAGTTATAATTAGCATAAGTACATATAATTTAGCATATTATATATAAAGTCAAATTTAGCAAGTGTGCTTTTTTTGAAGCCAGCATTTATAGGCAACTAGATGTTTCTGCTGCAGGTGGAGGAACAACTAAAACATTTGTATAAAAAAGCTAAATATTGGTGACATAATCTTAGGCTCTCCATGCACTAACGTTTTACAGCAAATTTTAGATGTCTGTAATGTTGCCGACTTTTAACGATTCACTGAAAGATTAAGGGGAAATAAGATGATTTTAAGGGTCACATGAAGCAATAAAAGCAAACCCAGCATCAGTGATCCTGTATCATACACCAGCATTCAATCATTTGATCAGCCAGGGCTGAAGCTCTAACTACAGACATGGGAGACCTTTAGACTCCACATAAGGACAGCTTCTTGCAATGGCTTTGCTGAGTAGATTTACTGTATACATACATAAGGCAATGTAGCGGGAGAACATTTTAAAACAAATTTGAGGAAGCACTTCTTTACACAGCGTGTAGTTGGAATATGTCTTAATAGTCTTGGAATAGTCTTCCTGCTAGTGTAGTGGAAGCTAAAACCCTGGGTTCCTTTAAATCAGAGCTAGATAAGATTTTAACAACTCTGAGCTACTGGTTAAGTTCTCCCCAAACGAGCTTGATGGGCTGAATGGCCTACTCTCGTTTGTAAATTTCTTATGTTCTTATGTAATGTTTTGGCATTTACCTCATGGTTTACCAGCATGAGCTTTAATACTGAATTCCAATCATGGTCCTACAGCCTTGCAGACTGGGCCAGTATTTTTAATCATGACAATAATTATAGTGGTATCTTTTTCCATCAGCATCTTACTTTGAAATTACTCTTTCGAAAACTAGTTGTTGAGACCAAGCTACGGCAGTGGTGATGATAGGGAAAACACACCTAAAAATGAAACTCCTAGAATTTGTATCAGCTGATTTATTTCATGTTGGCATGTATCATGTATCACCAGGACAAGTAGTGGGAAAACCTTAGTGCTCAGATCCATTTGTCTTCCATTTTGTCTAATCTAATTTATTTGTCCTTAATGATTCATTCTTTTAAGGGAGATATTGATTTCTTTCACAGTTTAGCTTGCTGTAGCAGATCTTTTTATACACATTTTTAACCACTTGAGAGATTTGGACATGATTATGCTTATGCAGTATAAAATAGGAGAGTAATTAGAGGTAATTCACCAAAAATCATTTCAAAGGAACAGGTAGGCTACATGTACTGTATTACATATAATAATGTGTATTACCACTGCCATTTTATACATTGTTTCATAAAACCCTTGGGGAAAACTAACTTTAGAAGAATTTCCCTCAGTCAGCAGTAACTTCAGATTTAAATGAATGATTGTTCCAGTCTCATTTGTAATAATATCTGAAAATTACAAAATTATGTCACTCACTTTGATAATCCACAATGAAACAGGTGCCACTTGTGGTAAATGCCTTATTCGGATAAACACGGTTATACTTATATTTTTACTATAATCCATCCATGCATCCAACTCCTACAGCCTCAGACTGCTGGAATTTTTACTCAGATTTATATCACCCATGAATCAGGAGATGCTAGATCTTCACATGCACGCATGCAGTTAGTTAATGTTACCATGCTCTCCATCACCAGAATGACCCAGTTTCATGTCTGTAGCAAGATAATCCATCTGCAGTCTCTTAGATTCTCAAACCTAGGGCATAACCAAACCTATCAGTTTCATAAATAAGTCAAATACAACAATTAAATAAACTAGAATTGGTGCTGCCAGAAACAACAGCATTGTATTCTCCAGAGTATTTCTTGAGCACTTTTAACTAAACCACAACTTAGCATTTGCAACACTGATTTGCAATAGAGCCTTGTCCTGACAACACAGATCTCAAGGATTCAAATCCCATGAACACACATAAAATGTTTTCCTTTGATTGCAAGCATTTTTTAATAAAAGTGTCAGTTAAATATAAATTTGTTTCATATACGGAGTGTAAATGGGAAAAAAAAACTGTCAGTGGTCCCTCCAGAGCTCTCTCTCTCTCTCATATAAGTAAATGTATAAGTAAATGTATAAAAATATAAGCAATATGAATTATTAAAACATACGCAAAGGAATACAGGTAACCACTTAATTGGTTACTTGTCATATAAGTATAATGTACAATAAATCAAGAAATATACTTTCAATTCAATTCCATTAAATTCAATTTTATTTATATAGCGCTTTTAACAACAGTCATTGTCACAAAACACTTTCCATTTAACCGGCCAGAACCCCACCAAGCAAGCCTATGGCGACCTACATATCACAACAAGGACTCACAGCATTCAGGAAAAACACATTTATTAACATTTACATTTCCAAGTGATCTATCCAGTAGGCCTGCTGCTAGAATTTGTACAAGTCAGTGAGTGTGGGACAAGTATGGCTTAGACAGCCAGAGCAAATGACAAGGCAGTGTGGGGAATACAAAACTGTAATTTCCTACAGCAACATGTCTTGTGTTCTTTGTGTTCTTAGATTTGATACTGCTACATAGGGCTGTGCGATATGGCATAAAATTCATATTGCAGTATAATTTGAACCATAGACGGTAGACGGTATATATTGCGGTATATGATTTGATCAGTAAATTTCAATATAACTGTTTTTGAAAGGGTAACATATGTCCATAGCCAAGGCATTGCAGCAGGAAGTTGTATAATAAACTTAACACATTTCACAGTAGTCGTGAAAGTAGAATATTTATTGTCCAAATCTGCAGTTATAGAAAAAATAAGAAAACATTTCAAGTAACTTCCCTGGTTTTATCTTATATTAAAAACACAGGTTAGTTTTGTAAACTGTATAGGTAAGCAGAAAACAAGACACAGAACTAGACTAGTGTCATAACTCCATCTATATTAATATGTAAGACCATCTCTCCCATAAAGGTCCTGCCAGGCAGAGTCCTGCACCGGTTCGGGTACCCGACGGGTGACCTGCAAATTTTGATGAAAGAGGTGAAAAATATTCTACTGTGTTGGATACGGCTTCGGGTCGGGTCGGACGCAGGAGAGCTAAATTGCGGTTTTCAAAAAATCATGTGTCAACAAAAAATACCCTAGGACTATATTTTAGTGACAAAATCCCTGCATTCAAGATGATAAAACGTAAAATCCATATACAGTATCAGTTTATGCCTGCAGGCGCATTCCCGGAAATCTCTCCCATTTTCATTTTCAAAAAACGCATGCGATCTCCTCCATTTGTCCGAAATGGATGCTGAAGTAGTCAGCTGAGGCCATCAACTGTGGACGATATCCTTTTTTTACACAGTAATATAAAGCACCACACCAAACACTAGTCTTCGCCGTCGCGTAGGAATTCCAATCGGGTAATCAAAGGAAAATGGACATTGCACGTAGGTAGCCTATATAAACCCAATACTGTGCAGGGTAGCCTAATGTACATTTTATATAATATTAGTTTTATTAACACATTTAATTGTAAGCTGGTAAGGCTATGTGTGGGCATGGCAAGTCAAACATTATTTGAGTTTGGAGGTAGACTACTACCATTTGTTTTGCTTATTATATAGGCTGTTATTAAGCAACATTTACAATTGGCTATGCCTTTTCAACTAATGTTGCACATGTCACTGGTCCTTGTGGCAATAAACTTTTGTCTTTAATTTTATCTATCTGATTTTTATTCGGGTGCGGGTCGGGTTTCGGTATTTATTTATAGCGGATCGGGTGCGGAATTTTATTTTATTTCTGTCGGATAACGGTTCGGATACGGGTTTAAGTATGACGGGTACGGGGGGTGCGGTTTGTCAAAATCAGACCCGTGCAGGACTGTGCTGCCTTGGTGCAGCAATAATCATATAAACATTTTTCATATAAATAATAAATTATTCATTATTTGACGCGACTTCACTACGTTAGTCATTTTTGCGGGCGAGGAGCGGAAATTTCTGCGGTAGGACGGTATAATCAAAATCTCTCCCATTGGCCAAATTTATATCGTATACCGTTTATACCGCACAGTACTACTGCTACACACATGGAGCACTGGTTCACAGAGTTGCCCAGCATTTTTACCCTGAAAACCAGGACAGACAACAATTCTGGATTTTACATCGTTGTCTAGTTCCTTTGAAAACATGATCATGTGGAGGCAACTCGCAGTTACAATGCAACCATGCAATAATACCTGCCCAAAGAAGGGGCTCAATTACCTGCGTATTAACACACACCCAAAGTCTAACTTCCATCCATCCATTTTCTGTACTTGCTTGTGCTATGCAGGGTTGCAGGGATCTGGAGTTTATCAAGGAAGCTTTGGGCGCAGGGCAGGGAACAACCCAGGACTGGGCACCAACTCATCAAAGCAAAGCCTTACTTAAGTTAACATTGCTAATTTATCACAGCCAACAATATTTTTTACCTGTTTTTTTTGCAGTATATTCTGCACAGCATTATACTATATAGTACTTTAAAAGGCCTTATTATTATTATCATCATCATTATTAATAATAATGATGATTATAATAATTATGATGATGATGATGATGATAATCATAATCATCATCATCAGAAATTACTACTCTAAATCATTCTTCAAAAGTGAGAACATGCTCAGTGAGAACGGTCCGCATTTGAACAGAGATGGGGAAAGCTTAGTTCTGTTTAGGGATTGTTGGAACTGTCTAAGGTTCTGCAAACGTGGGTGACAAACTCATTCGGTGGAATGATCGAACACACGCTGGAGCCCCCAAACCCCATTTAAGAGTCGGAATCGGTTAAACTGATTTTATATTACGCGATAAGGTAATTTATTTTACTACTACACTCATTTCTAAAACAGCGTACATTTTTCATGTGGTAAAAATACATGTTCTTAGTTTAAAAAATGTAGCCTAATAAAGGAAACACGTGTAAAGTAATATATATTACTAATGGAAAACAATATTCTTACCCAGAGATTTTAATGTTTCTTGTGCCTTTGATTGGACCACCTTGGCGCCATTCTTTTGCTCAGTATCTGCCTTATTCTCACTGCCCAACATGATGTCCAAATTCTTCACTTTCTCCTCGTTATGTTATTGTTTCTGTGTCACTTTATCACAGTTTTGGGAATAAACTCGGTTTCTTGTCCCCTACAGCACAAACTGAGTCATGAAGCTGTTCCTCGTAAAGGTTTTGCAGTAAAGTGTCCACGCAAAGGTTTTCCTTCAGAAATGCGACGCAGAACTGCCCTCGGACGTGATGTCATGAAAAATGCCGGCTTTTGAATATCAAAGCCAAACTGTACACCAAACCGCTTCAACACTAGGCTGTCTATCAGTGCCACACAACAAATTAAACAACGCGACAATATTGAGAATATTTATCCGTTTTTCTACCAACCCGCATAAATACGCAGCTATTACAGTTAAATATTTATTAAGCCATTTCATTCTAATCTACGCGATCAAAATGATACTTTGAAAGCTGAAGCAAGGTTTTAGAGACTACATGTATAGGCTACCTATGCAGTGCCGAATAGGCTCACTAAATGAGGATAAGAAATCAATACCAACACAAGAACAAAAAGCTTAGGTCTCATATCACAAATTCATCTTCAATATGTTGTCCACACAGTTACAATGAAACAATATGGTACATGGAAGTGTTATGTGAGAAAGAATTAAAATATCCGGGCTGTTGCAAAATCAAGTGAAGAAACACGTGAAAAACGCTGAGAGCAAGATTAACGATTAGTTGTGTGTATATCATATGACGCAATCATATGAGCATCAGCGTCATACCATTCGGGGCTATACATTGCCCTCTAGCGTTTATATGTAGTATTTCAGAAAATCTCGCTGTAACTTTGAAGCTTTTAGGAAAACTGGAAATGTTAAACAATACAGTGTGTACGACATTAAAATAAGTATATTTTCATACATGTAACAAGGGAAAAATATAAACAATCGATCTAGACTAGTAATGGAAGATATTTGTAAAGATGATCAGTATTTCACCATTTCGAACTGATCAGTTGAAGAGATGATAACGAAATGAAACATCAATTACATGTTACGTAGTATACTTATGTGATATAGTGTGAAAGTAATATTACTTGTAAAATTGATCTAAAATTCGAAACCCTTGTCACTGGTGTAGTTCCTCAAATCTTTGTGCAACAATGCGCCACTGAGAGAAAGAATGCTGTTTTCTGGTTTTTCCAAACGGCATCGATTAAATCAATCATTGCTCCAACTATCCGTTCGTTGCTACACCTTGTCGATCCTTATCATGGAGAAATAGAAAGGAAGCTTGACTTGATGCGTATGCGACTTCAGGCAGGCTGCCATCTATTGGGATGTCTGTAAGTAATTAATAACCCACTCCGATCTAAATATTGTGATTATTGTAAGAAACAAAGAAACAGAAGAGAAACAGAGACGCATTAATCACGTAATACAAACTGACAACGCCTGGTTTTATGAAGGGCTTGTGCAACATAGAAAACTCACATCTGCAAATAGATTATTCTCGAAAACGGACACAGCTAGCCCTAATTATACACAGCAAGAGAGCAGCTAACTCATATATTTCACACGCCAATCATAAAATTTGCAGTAGCGGCACAGTTTGAAGAGCCTTGTGTGATGTTTGTACTCTTAACCTTTACTCTCAAACACTGTTGACAACATTTAAAAGCACAACTTTTAATAAACCAATAATAACACAGTGTTTTCCACTGCAGTGTGCGTTCTATATTCCTAGGGAGAGAAATGGACCTTGTAGGAGGCCATTAAAAAAACTGCTTTCATTGGATGGTGAGAGTTTACTGCGGTGTCGGGATTGGTTGAAAACTGGGCTAACCCGCCAGAGGAGGGACTTGGAGGGTTATCGCGTGACGTGTCGGAAATTGTTTTTTATTGAGCAACACTGTATAAGGATTCTCGGAGTTAGGGTAGGCGGGTGATCGGCGTGTATTAAGGGTCTTTGATGTGAGAAATGCAAGCGTATTAAGTGGTTCATTGCAGCAAGTTCTTTCTTCATGTAAATATCTGCTTGCACCGCGATGGCACCTGCGAAGGTGTTGTGTGATAGCTAGACCAGTGAGGTTATACTGGAAGGAAGGTGAGCCCAGTGCACTCCGCTTCGCCGGTAGTTACGCTGATCCTGTCACCGCTCTGTCTATTGAGCTGCCTCAGTAATAAGATATGCGATCGTTCAGTCCTTGTGACGAAGGGATATAAAATTCTTTAAAAGTAAATGACACTGCGTGCAAAGTAACAGTAGCTGTGTTACAGTCTCCAACACTTGGCAAACGACATGCCCTACCAAATAAAAAGTTAAAGGATGAACTGTCATTCCAAAATCTAATTCTTCAAGTCACTATCATTTCTCCTGTTGAACCGTGAGCATTTCAGGGCTGGTTAGCTGAGCTAAACGCTGTGTCTTTGACTTTCTGTTAAGCAGGTGGAATATCGTCCAGCTGCCAGTGTGAAAGGGGAGTCGATCTCTTGTTGCCCTGGCTGGATGCCGCGGGACACCTTCTCCGGGAGAGGTCCTGCATCTCTACCTGCCGGGACCATGACGGAACCTAAAGATCACTGTCAGAAGCGCTTCCAGGCCGCCGTAGATGTCATCCAGAAGTTACCTAAAAACGGTAAGACGAAATGGTACCGTCTGAGTGAATTTTATACTTTAATGGCTTAAGTGTTAGCCTATCTATTATTTGCGTTGCTGGACATGTGGGCTTCTTAATTTTGCTACGACACAGGTCTGCACGTGGTAAAATAAGTACTTCATCTCTTAGTGAGCTCTCTCTCTCTACGTGTGTGTGTGTGTGTCATAATTTTTTCGGTCCCCATTCAATTTTTATAAAATTTATTAAATCTGTGACTGCAGTTAAAAAAAAAAACTAAAAATGCCAAAACACGTCCAGTCAAAAGACTTGTATTTTGTCTGGTTACTTGTGGTTAAGGGTTGAGTACGGGTTAAGGGTTGTTATTCTTAGGATTAGGCCTACAGAAATAAATAGACGGTTCCCACGAAGATATAAGTACAGGTCTCTCTGTGTGTGTGTGTGTGTGTGTGTCAATGACGAGACACCTAGATTTTTTTCCACAAGCGAAATTAATTACAAACAACAAAGTTAATTATATATTTTTGTATAAAAATGGCTAAATATTGTTTAAATGCATTAATCTCATATCTCTTTTATTTTTCACTTTCATTATTCAAAATTGTGTGAATAATACTAAATTAAGTGGTTTTTATGATATTAAAGTGGTAAAATGTCATTCTCTAAAACAGTCCTGACAAAGTCAATGAAGTCAATTGTTTGTAAAATGATCAAAAAATTAAAAATCATGAATTATTCTATTTGACATATTTTTTCAAGTCTCTTGGTAAGCATTTTAAGATTTTTAAGATAATTAATTATCTGAAAATGAGTTGTTCCACAAAGGCAAATTTTCCTGAATGTTATTCAATAAAACAAAGATTAGAGGTAATTTTGAACTATAGTAATGTGACTTTAGTCAGGGGAAATGTGGTAGTATGACTCAAAAAAGACCCCTGAAGAACACTGAAGTTGGAGGTAAATTGAACATTTTGCTCCTGAATTTAAGAGAATTTCACCATGTGTCACAGATTTGAGTGTCATTTGGTCAAACATCCAAAAAGTTTTCACAAAATTATTGATTTTAGAAACAATAAGTTAGAGATAAAATGTATAAAGAAAATTTATAAATCAAATTCAGGGTCATTGTTGTTAACAGGTGGCACACAACTGCCTGTTAGGAATGAATGCTGTAATTCAACAAAACAGAATTTCTCATTTGGTGGAAATTTGTCAGATTGACATCTGTTAACTGATTTATTTCATTCTTAATTCTAAACCGTATACATGTGTGAGCAGGGCTCCCAGAATGTCTTGGGATTCCTGTTGCAGATTTATTGGTGTCATAACCAAATTCTGTTTACAAGCAGTCTTAATAAATTTGCACATGTCGTCATTTCTTTTGAATTTCTTTTTCTGTCCTTGCTATTTTGCTATTAATTTAAGTTATTTTCATTGGCTCCCAATGGATACTAAACACGTTTGGCATTTAATATTATTGCAAACATGTTACTAATTTAAAAACTCCCAATGAGGCTGCTTGTCATAATTTTTTTTAACTCAAAACAGTTCTTTTTGAACTATAATTTGGGTTACGAAAAGGACCCAAAATGTGATGATAACCTGGTTTTTTGATGCTGTGAGGACCATTTTTTGGTTCCTACAGAGGGAAATTTGGTTTTATAAAAATTTGGGACTGCAATCAAAAACTGAAGATGCCAAAAGTCTCGTATTTTGTTTGGTTACTTATGTTTATAGTTAGGGCTGGGTAGGGGTTAACTGTTTAATTAAGGACCGGGAACACTAATCAGTGGAGTGCTATATTGTACAGTGGAGCAAATATGGCTAAAGACTATTTTTACAGAAAATGTTGCTTGAAATGCGCAGCTGCATCTACAGACCTCAATTCCAAAACAGCTGGATTCTATAGAACAGCTGAATGGAATGGATTATTGCAAATGTGCACAACTGAGTGCTAATTTTGCTAGCATTTGATGCTTTCATAAAACGGTGATTCTCACAGATGTGCTATAAAATTAGGAAATTGGCACATGATAAATCATGATGTACACCATGTAAACAGTAAAAAAGTGTCTGGTTTTCTTTTACTAGCACTCTCCAAACCCAGCAACGCCGACCCATCTGCAGTGGAAAACCAAAGCATGCTGGAATCATGTTGTAACTAGACTCTCTTCACGGTACAGTTTTGGTACGGCTTGGTTCCAGTGTGCAAATGAAAAATCGCCAAATGTCCTGGATGAGTAGGCAGAATCTAATGGCACATGCTGGAAGTCAAGACAGTATGTGTTCCAAAAATGTATACTAAGCGTTTGCGGTTCCCCCTCCCCAGGTGTCTACAGGCCCTCCTATGATGTCATGCTACGCTTCTATGGCCTGTACAAGCAGGCAGTATGCGGTCCCTGCAGAAGATCCCGGCCTGGGTTCTGGGACCCCGTTGGCCGCTACAAATGGTGAGCAGCAGGGGCTATGTAATATTCAGATTCTGTTTATTGGTCAGGCTGCTACAGCTGACACAATGTTGCTGTGTTAAATGACCTCTGATGTTAACGGTAGGGATGCTTGGAGTCGCCTGGGGGAAATGAGTAGTGAGGCTGCCATGACGGCATATGTGGAGGAGATGAAGAAGGTGGCAGAAGAGGTCAGAGGAAGTCGCTACACTGATTCTCTGAATTTCAGCATGTCTGTGGGAGAGGGGGTTAGTGGCTTGCCAGCCTTAGTTATTCCATCAGTCTCTGTGACGCTTCATTTTGGTGTCCTCCTGTATGACCACTAGTGTGGTCTCTTTTAGTATTTCTAGGCTGCTCTGGAGCTGTCTACATATGAATATCTATGCCTGTACTACTAAAGACTGGCACAAACCTGATAACCAACTTTTCAGGTGATCAACAACATTCCAGTGAATGAGAAGACTGCTTCTCTGTTCCACTATTTTGAGCCTCTGTATCTTGTCATCCATGACATGCCCCAACCACCAGAGGCACTACTGAGTCTCAGGGCAGGTAAGTATGGGCAGTTTGATAGGGACCAAACCACATAACACTTTATAGTAAAGTAACCGTAATAGCTCTATGTACTCATTTAGAGCTGGAAGGGAGTGTTCAGACTGCCACTCCAGCAGACGCAGAGTTGCAAAAGACTGAAGAGGAGCCCCCAAGTAGACGAGATGACTGTCCCAGGAAGGGCGGTGCTGTTCACGGTAAATGTTTCTATGGGACTTATTAGCCTTGCAAGCATAGGCTATGCTTACCCACTTTTTTCTTACTTCTGTTGGATAGAAATTTATAATGTTTACTGCTATACGAAAAGAAAGTGTAATATCTGCTTTACTTTATTGTAGTAAAGGTAAATGTCTTATTAAATATGTTATTTGCATAGTGTGTGTGAATCCAGCCCAGAGACAGCTTTGTCTCTTTCACTGTAGAACCTGCCTCCCCAGAATACTTAGTGGCAACAAGTGATTCTGAGAGCGAGATCTTCTGTGATTCATTCGAGCAGCTGGATCAGAATAAGGTACAATGCAGGGGCCATAGACAGTTCATCAGCTACCAACAAAATCCTTTCAAACCCCACAGTGGTCCTGTTAACCTGGAATTGACTTACCAAGTTCCAAGCTAATGTCCTGGGAGCCTCCAGACTAGGGCTATAATGGTATGTGTATTCATCATAGGGATGGCACGGTTCATGAAAAAAAACCGAACCATTCGGTTCGCTTGTCTCGGTTCGGAGCATGCATGCGTCGCACGGTTCAACGGTTCATGACATGTGCAATGTAGCCTCGTGCCCCGTATGTGACGTCAGTGTGTTTCCCTTTCGTGCGAAAGAATAGGCTATATGCAGAGCGGTGTGACGTAGTTCCGGTAAAAGTTCAGCCAGCTAAGTAATTTCCGGTAGCCTTTCGTTTGCTGCGTTTAGCTCGTGTTTTCGGCGTTACCACCCTGTCTCTGAAGAAAACGTTTAAATTTCAGCCACCCGATAGCACAACATCTGAACACTGTTGTGCGCCTTTGTTGTGTGACTTTATTTAATGTGCGGTTAGGCACTTTGTT